TGTGCAAATAAAGTAGTAAAATTAATTCAGACTTGATAAAAACTTACAGGAGAATTAAAAGTAGAAAGATAAATAAACTCAGACAAATAATGCTAGAATGCGATTCTCATCAATTAATCATACTTCTATTATTTCTAAATAAGATTATTTTAGGGGAAATATTTTCTTCTATGGAAAGAATTAATTGAACATGAATTGTCGATTTCGCGTATTCAGAACCAAATTTACTCTCTAAATTATATCGTCCACTATCATGGTGGCAGGCGCTTTTTTGCGTTAAAGTAGTAAAACCTATTTTAAGAAATTAAACTCTTTACTCAGTTGAAAAGTAATTTTCATTGGAAAGTTCAACTTAAAAGGCTTCCAGGCATTTGCTCAGGTAACCAGATCTTAAACCTATAAACGCGGGCGTTCGTAAATAGTTTTATAATCACTTTCTAGAAATATTAGACTTTTCTAATTAATTAACAAAGTGCTTTGCGGTATTTATTAACCAAGAACAAACCAATTTTTGTCTATAGTATCAGCCAACTTTCGATCTTACCCGACGTTTTTACTGCCCCACTTTCGTAGTGACTAATTAAAATTAAGTTCGAAAAAACTGCATTAAAACAAAAATAACCCAGAATTTAAAATAAACTAAGTACTATCAAAAGATGATCTTCGCATTCCAACATCACCAAATTAGTCGGACATAATCACTGTAAGCAAATAAACAATTGATCGGAGTGCAAAATCGAACATGACGGTAAATTTAATAAAAGTAGTTTAAAAATCTATTTTGCGAGGGAAGTAAAAGTGAGATAAGTAAGACGAAAAATAGAGGACAAGATAAACAAAGCGTAAAATACTGAATAAATTAAGAAACTGCTCCAAACAGAGGCTTTAATTCTGATACAACTGTAAATAACTTCGAAAAACTGTGATCTAAAGTAATTCAAATAAAAGTGGTCCAATCCTAACAACAACAAAAACTTGAACAGTGCTATGACCCTAAATGTGATGGGTTATAGATTTTAATCGGTATTTTGTGCCTAGAGTTATGTTAAGGTTGGATGTCCCAAAAGTGAAACCAAAAGGCTTATTTATAATATACTAAAACCCCAAAAATCAAGTTGGTAGTTGTATAAAGCGTAGGCGAAAACATAGGAGAGAAAGTGGATACTTAGAGACCAAGCGAAGCTAATTTGTAACTGCTTCATGTCAATAACATATGGTGATCGCCACAGACCATATAGCGAAAGCCATGCTCTCAAAATGGCCATGACTTGGTCTTTTGACTGTTAGCGCGTGGACCACTCATGGCCACTTGCATGGTGAATGTCATGGTGGTCTCCATGAGTGCAGAATATTCTATTTTCCTCCGTTTTTCATTCATTTCTCTTTGTTTCTCCGTGTATGACTTCTAAACGGTAAAATACCTGAAACAAATACAAATACCAGCATAACAAGGGAAATGTAAAGCAAAATGACATTAAAACATGCATAAATCGAGTCTAATATACGGTGTAGTTACGTATCATCAAACTCTCTCACACTTGAACCATTGCTTGTCCTCAAGCAAAATAAAAGTAAACAGTGACAACAAATAGCACTTTAGGGTGTGAAGACTTTTCTTTGGACAAAATGATATCAAATAGGTACTAAATCACAAAAATAATAGTATTTTAATAACATATTCCACATTTTTGCAGGCATAAGTCTCTCTCATATACGAACCAGTCTGAATCATGTCATTATGCTTAAGCCTAACTTACTCATCCCATTTCACAACCTTTTTCATTCGGTTGCAATCACATTAAGCCTGTTATCCGTACACACTCATAGTAAGGCAAAGCAGTTTGTGATTCTGATCTTTTGCACGGGGGTTCTGGTACTTTTAAGCAGTGTAACCTTTTTTCTTACCTTATCGTAGTTGTGGGGGATCAGATCTTAATCCGCCCTACCAAGTTCAACACCAGAAACCTCTGAACCAACTAATAGAAGGTTTTTCTCTATTTTGTAGGTTCCACAACCGTTGGATTAAATAACCGGGTGAGGATCACCTAACTTAGAAGGCGCATTCCTTATTTTATTTAATTAAAGCAACAAAGAAAATTAGGTTCATTCACTTATATTCCTCGGCTTCCTCACGTAGAATATGCCCAAGTCTTCATAATCTGTGCTAAAATTGTCTAATAGCCCACATATTAAAAACAAACACTATTTATTTTTGCAAATTTTTTTCGTTATGGCACACTATGCCATATAAGGGAATAGACAACGTTTTTTTTGCCAAAGACAACGCTTTAAAGTGCTGCCTATTCCTGCACTGTTGTAAGTAAAGACCAATGATTTTTGTCAATGTAAAAACGCTGCTTAATGTAGCCTTTAGGCAGCTCTTTATTCAATAAACGCTCTCTAAAGGCCCATATAGACAACACTTCTTACATCATAAGCATTTTCTAAAGCATCCCTTTAGACAACGCCTTCCCTTTTGACAGCGCTTTTAAAAACGCTGTGTAATGTATATTTTTGTTCACTTTTTTTTTCTATTTTAGGCAGCACTCTCTAAAGTCCCTTTTAGGCAGCGCTTTTACTTTAGAAGAGCTTTCTAATGCACCCCTTTAGGCAGTACTTTCTTTAAAAGCGCTTTCTATTCCTCACAGACAGCGCTTTTTTGTTTAAAGTGTTGTCTAATATTCACAGATTTTTTAATATATATAGCTTATATTTTAAGCGCTCTCTGCAAATAATCACTTAAAATAAGCGCTGTGTTTCAAATTTACACCAAATTTCCTAAATTTGCAGCTTTAATCCAATAAATATGCACCAAATTTACATATTTATATTTACAACTTTATTCCAATATTTTATATGTACATAAATTTGATACAACTTCAATATATATATATATATATATATATATATATATATATATATATATATATATATATATATATATATATATATATATATATATATATATATATATATATATATATATATATATATATATATATATATATATATATATATATATATATATAAATGTACATATTATTATATTTTAGAGCTGCTATCTCTCTCCTATCTTCTCTACAAACAAAACAATGAAGAATCTCAAATGAACTTGTTAACTCTATATCTTTTACATAACTATTATAATTTAACACAAACCAATGTAACAAAAACAAATCAAGAATCCGTTATAACCTAGCATAAAAAATTTCCCAATTCATACCATGATACAAACAAAACTTTATTTGAATTTAAATCCAATACTATCATAACTAACATTCCATATATAACAACAACATTGAAATAGAGGGATTATTGTAAAATAACAGAAAACAAATTATTAAAAAAATAATTCCAGAAGCTAATTGAACTTCCCTTGTCAACAGATTGACTTGATTGCTGACATGATAAAAGAAGGTATTCATTAAATCAAAGTTTCTATTTTTAAACAAGAAAAAGAAAAGTTAAACATACCTGTGCTAGAAACTCCTTCTGTATGGTAGAATTGAGATCAATGTCCAATGAGACACCATCTGACGTATCCTGAAATTTAACTCTTAACAACTTGTCTGCATTAATGGTACCTGGACTTAAAGTTTCCATCTTGTGGAAGTTGATTACAAGCATTTGCTCCAAGGATGGAAAGCACACAGTAAAATTCCCAGAATAAAAGCATTTGAGTTATAGTAAATCTATAAGATACAAACCTCGAGTTCCAAAAATATTATTTTTTCATCCTCATCTGATGCATCACCCTCATGAGACACTATCTCTTGTATTGATTCACAAGATAAACTCAATTTATAAATTACTTAATCAATTATTTTAGTGCACCGTGACCAAGTTTTAATAAGTATTATGTCTTCTTAAAGCTCACATTGGACAAGAGAACTGCATATACATAAACGTTTATAAGTTTGGCATAGATTCCTAACACTTACGCCATTGGTGATGAATATATGTGACTTGAACTTAGTCATTCACTATCACCACCCACCGGGGTGCAATTGAATCTAGAATTCAAAGTCTCAAATCAAATATTGCTAGGGTATACGTATGCACCATAAGCTACCATTTATAAAATCACTGTGTAAATAATTACTTTTATGTTTGTCATGTTATAAAAAGATAACATCAATATGATATGGGGTATTTCGCAAGTGCACGAAAGATATTAGAGTAATAGTAAGTGTCAAATCCATAGAGACTTAATAGTCTAACTATTGTTATCTATTGTTATGGTGTGAATTTAAGACAAATAAAAATAAATGTTTAGTTGTGCAAATAAAATAGTAAAACTAATTCAGACTTGATAAAAAATTACGGAGAATTAAAAGTAGAAAGACAAATAAACTCAGACAAATATTACTATAATGCGATTCTCATCAATTACCATACTTCTATTATTTCTAAATAATATTATTTTAGGGGCAATATTTTCTGCTATGGAAAGAATTAATTGAACATGAGCTGTCGCTTAATTAATTGAACATGAGCTGTCGCTTTCGTGTATTCAGAATCAGAATTTACTCTCTAAATTATACCGTCCACTATCACGGTGGCATACGCTTTTTTGCGTTAAAGTAGTAAAATATATTTTAAGAAATTAAACTCTTTACTCAGTTGAAAAGTAATTTTGATTGGAAAGTTTAACTTAAAAGGGTTCCAGGCATTTGCTCAGATAACCGGATCCTAAACCTATAAACGCACGCGTTCGTAAATAGTTTTAAAATCACTTTCCAGAAATATTAGACTTTCCTAATTAATTAACAAAGTGCTTTCGCGGTATTCATTAACCAAGGAGAAATTAAATTTTGTCTATAGTGTCCGACGACTTTCGATCTTACCCGACGTTTTCACTATCCCATTTTCGTAATGACTGATTAAAATTAAGTTTGAAAAAACTGCATTAAAACCAAAATACCCAGAATTTAAAACAAACTAATTACTATCAAAAGATGATCTTCACATTCCAACATCACCAAATTAGTCGGACATAGTCACTGTAAGCAAATAAATAACTGATCGGAATGCAAAATTGAACATGACGGTAACTGTAAAATGAACAGAAACATGTGGCTTATGGTGTGGGTTAGAAAAATAGGCTGTTGGAGAGAGACAAGCAGGTGAAACATGTTCCTTCCTGTTAAACTTCTCATCAGTATCATTACCTGTTTCTGCATTAGCGGGAACTACTGTAGGTAAGGGGCCGATATATTCGGAAGCATCAATGTTATAAGTCCAATTGGCCCTTACCCACACATCAGTACGTGAAGGCCAAGGGAAAAAATACTTTTAACAACCTCATCATGGATCATAAGGTGGCGTCCACCCTCTCTCCGGTTTCTACAAAACCGCATGTTTCTGACACGCTAAATATCAAGGGTGCGGGGCAACAGAGGCTCTAAATCATCAAGTTGTGCATCAAGGTCCAGGGAACGGGCCAAGGAAGTAATCAAGCCTTCAAATATTATAGTGTCTCTCTTAGAAGTGCTAAATCTCATGTGAGTTATCATGAAAGGTGTCGAATTTACCTGTCTTCCAGCAAGAGCAACCTGCAAATAAAACATTTGTTATCCCGACTAAAAATAGTGTCTGCCAACATTTTGTAAAAATAGCGGAGGGACGGGTTATGGATGGCCGAAGCATTATTCCCCTTAATGGAATTAGTTGTCAAACTTGTAATCTCATTCAAAAACACAAAAGCCTCATTTTCCCACTCTGACTCAAGTGGAGCCTCAAAAGGTATTCCCTCCACGTGGGGAAGATTCAACATTTCAGCAATTTCATCAGTAGTGAATTGATACTCAGTGTTAAACATACGCAAATTTATGGTTCTTGCGGTACTAACAGTCTCAGGTTTAACTTTGTAAATAAGTGAACTCAAAAATTCACGCGTTAACAGTGCATAAGTGGAATCTCTTTGTTCAAATAAACTACACAAGCCTAAGTTATCAACCAAGTAATACACATCATTGTAAATGCCTAAAATACGCAGACAAGTGTTATCAGAATACCTTGTGGGAGTAACATCCTGATCAGATAGTCATTCAAACTTGTTCCTCTGTCGGGTACCAGCATCTCCCTCTCGGAAAATTATCTCTAAATTTCCTTCCGCCATTGATATGAAGGAAGAAGGTTTTTTGTGAATTTGGGGTTTTTATAGAAGGAAATTGGGGGAATTAGTGGAAGGTTAATGGATTTTGTGAGTTATTGGAAGTAATTTGAGTGGGTGGAGTTATGGTGAGTGTTAATGGAGGAAGACAGTGGGTAGGAGGTGAAGAAAATAGTGAAAAATGGTGGAAGTGGGGTTGTTTCGGCTTTTGTTTGTGTTTGAACACAGAGCGTCGTGGTGTTCGCCATAGGGGCTCTTGCAATAGCCATGCGTCATAATTCCCTGACGGGCTCATTTTGTGGAGTCTTTTGAGATTTTGTTTTTCTTTTTGGATTTATACTTATTTATGTTTTACACATCGAATAATAGTAATAATAATCATAGACAAGGGTTAGTTTCATAATGATAATAAAAAAAATTTAAGAAACTTTTCCCAAAAACTTAATGAAAAATTAAAGTATAATAATCCTGAAGATTTTTTTAAAAAGATGGTAAATAAAGTTCAAACGTGAAAATAAATCTAATAATGGTTAGGAAAAATCTAATGACAAAAAAAAGATGACGGTGAAATAAATCTAATAAATGACTAAATAGACTGATAAGTGGGATTCAGCATCTGATGTGGACGAGATGCATGAATCTCAAAAAGCTGGCGCTGGAGACTGTGAATCTTCTGGGAAAGGTAATCTGCTTCCTCTGAATGAGTGGCATCCCAAATCATCATCCACTGTGTGATGTCTCTGATTTCCTCTCAAAGAGTAGTAATCTCCTGGCGCATGATGATAAGCTCGCGGTCTCAGTCACTTTCTTCTACAGAACCAGTGGAGTAAAAAGTAGTAGCCCTATCTGAGAAGGGTAGAGGGTGATATTCGGGTGTAGGCGGGGCGGCTGGCCTAAAAGGTATTTCTCGTTGGTATTCCAAAGCATAAATCCAATTTTCTATTTTTTGGACATTCATTATTTCTGGGTTTGGCAGGTAGAAGTGTTGGACGACTTCATTATTAATGATGATTTTGTACTCATTAATCCTGAAGTAAACTCAACGTACCATTCCATTTACAAGACAATCATCTAAGTCTAGAAGTGTAAAGCCTTAATAGGGTACTAAATGGGCTAGCTTTCTTTGGAGTCCAAGGGCGGAAGCAATTTGGGTAATAGTCCCTCCTACATGGATTGGTCCTAAAAAATATAAGGTTATGTGGTTTAGGTTATCTATAAGGAAGGTGCCAGACGCGACATGATCAGATTCAGTGATGCAATAAAGGATAAATAGTTCTTCTTCACTCACACGCTCACTAGTGTCACTTCGACCAAACAATGTCTGGGCCGAAATCATCTTGAAATACCTAAGAGCTGAGTTATGGATATGTTTTGAAAATTGGGTGGACGGATCAGGATTTCCTTTATTGGTGATATCATTCCAGAAGGTGTCTAAGGTATCTTGCATATCAAGGTTAACAGGAACTTCAGATGCGGCTACTAGGCCAGTTGGAAATCTTAAGAGGTTACCTAAATCTTGGTGGGTTAGCCTATACTATTTCCCAAATAGCATAAAAGAAATTTGACCGCGCTTGAATCCATAACCTACATCTGGCTTGTAAACTAGTAAGCTGAGGAAATCAAGGGTGAGGTTTCAGTAGGTGATATTTTTAGATTATGCAAACTCATCCCAATTGGCTACTCATATGGATAATGTTAGACTCAACCCTTATGGCTAATCTGGTAGGTAGCATAGGTCTCTCAGATAAGACTGTGTAGCGGTTCCTTTGATTGTCATCTCTGAACTGGATCTCCATGTCATCGAAATTCTGCATCTTGAAAATTGGGTTAGAATAAGATATGTAGATTGATGAACATGAAATGTACGAAATCACACAAGTTAGTCATATTAGAAGAAATAATTCCATGTGTCAAAAGAAAAATAATGAAAAAGGAAAACTATTGGTTGCCTCCCATGCAACGCTTCGTTTCATGTCAGGAGCACGACTAAGGATATGGTTTAAGTTCCATATGTGGTTTCCAAGGCCATTTATCTAGCCATATCTCATATCCTTCACCTTTCCTTTTCTTTCCATTATAGAGTGGTTCATTTCTTGGATCTGGGGGAGGTTTGGTTTTTTATCTTAATCATTTGAGTCTTACGTTTTGCCTCAACTTCCTCACTTGTAAAAGTCAAGGTTTTGTTTTTAAAAACTCTAGTTCTATGTTTCTCAAATTTCTCTCTTATATGCGGGGATTTATACTTTCTGGCTGCAAACCTATCTTGATTTCTAAGGAATCTGGTGAAGAAACATTTCTAATCTCTGGTTTTCTGCGTTTCTCTTTAATCATATCATTTTCTCCCTTAAGGTTTTCAATTGGTTTTTCACTACTTGTTATCGTAACATTTTTATGACTTCTAATGGGGAATCCTAAAGGTGCTTGTGTAAGCAGTGATATTTGTGTCCCTAATTCCTTATTGCTAGTTACTAGAGATTCGGTTGCAGTGTTTAGTTTCTTAAGGGTTTCATTAACATGGAGAAATTGGTTTCTAAATTCCTTATTATGGATGGTTTGTGTTGTCAAAAAACTATGCATCACATATTCTAGTCTAGAGAGGGTTTGTGTGTTAACAAAATTCTCTACTAATATTTCGAGGTTTGATTTATAGGGATATTGTGGTCCCTCGAAATACTTAACATGGCCAATATAGGAAAAATTTGGGTAATCCATAGAAGTGTGCTTTAATCTAAACGATGTAACAACAGAGTTACAATATTTGACATAATTGGTCGCCGACAACGACGCCGAAAACTTGATGTGGTATTTAGCAAGTGCATGAAAGATATTAGAGTAATGCAAAGAGTGCACGAATATAAATAAATGTTTGGTTGTGCAAATAAAGTAGTAAAATTAATTCAGACTTGATAAACAATTACGGGAGAATTAAAAGTAGAAAAATAAATAAACTCAGACAAATAATGCTAGAATGAGATTCTCATAAATTAACTGTACTTCTATTATTTTTAAATAGGACTATTTTAGGGGAGATATTTTATGCTATGGAAATAATTAATTGAACATGAATTGTCGCTTTCACGTATTCAGAACCAAATTTACTTACTAAATTATATTGTCCACTGCCACAGTTGCAGATGCTTTTTTGCGTTAAAGTAGTAAAATATATTTTAAGAAATTAAACTCTTTACTCAGTTGAAAAGTAATTTTGATTGGAAAGTTTAACTTAAAAGGGTTTCAGGCATTTGCTCAGGTAACCGGATCCTAAACCTATAAACGTGTGCACTCGTAAATAGCTTTAAAATCACTTTCAAGAAGTATTAGACTTTACTAATAAATTAACAAAGTTCTTTCGCGATATTTATTAACCAAGAAAAAACCAATTTGTTAATATAGTGTCGGACGACTTTCGATCTTACCCGACGTTTTCACTGCCTCACTTCCTTAGTGACATATTAAAATCAAGTTGAAAAAACTGTATTAAAACCAAAACAACACACAATTTAAATCCTAAAGAAATAACAAACTTTTACTATCAAAAGATGACCTTCACATTCCAACATCACCAAATTAGCTGGACATTGTCACGGTAAGAAAATAAACAATTGATCGGAATGCGAAATCGAACATGACAGTAAATTTAATAAAATTAGTTTAGAAATCTAAATTGCGAGAGAATTAAAAGCGAGATAAGTAAGACGAGAAGATAGAGAGCAAGATAAATAAAGCATAAAATACTGAATAAATTAAGAACTTGCTCCAAACAGAGACTTTAATTCCGATACAATTGAAAATAACTTTGAATTAAAAACAGCGAGATAAAATGCTTCAAATAAAAGTGCTCAAATCCTAACAACAACAAAAAATTGAACGGTTCTATAACCCCCCAATGTGATGGGTTATAGCTTTTAATCAGTATTTTGTGCCTAGAGTTGTGCTAAGGTTGAATGTCCCAAAAGTGAAACCAAAATGCCTATTTATAGAAAATTAAAACCCTAAAAATCATATTAGCAATTGCATAAAGCATGAGCGAAAATATAGGAGAGAAATATATGAGAGAAAGTGGATACTTGGAGACCAATCGAAGCTCATTTATAATTGCTTCACGTCAACAACGTATGGCGAACACCACCGACCATATGGCGAATTCCATGCTCTCCGAATGGCCACGACTTGGTCTTTTGACCATTAGCGTGTGGATCACTCATGGCCACTTGCATGGTGGTCGCCATGAATGCAAAATACTCTATTTTCCTTTGTTTTTCGTCTATTTCGCTTCGTTTTTTCGCGTATGAATTCTAAATGATAAAATACCTTAAACACACACAAATACTAACATAAAAAGAGAAATGTAAAGCAAAATGATATTAAAACATACACAAATCAAATCAAATATATGATGTAATTACATGTCATCACAATCATGCATGTACACAATTGGCTTGGTAGCAATTGTCTTCTTACAACAGTGTATAGCATGCATTAATTACACACAGGTGGAAAAGGTTGGGATATGGTGTTAAAGATCAAATACCTTGTGTTCACATGTTTTTTTCTTTGACGTGTGCTTTTAGTTTCACCTTATATGTAGAGGGTAAAACTTTTAGTCTGTAACTCTCTCTTTTGTTTGATAGGTTAGAGTCAATGCTTTGTTATGCCTACTTGATAAACATGTTGTCTTGGAAATCTTGTTTGATTTCTCTTGTTCAGTATGGAGTAGAATATGTTGCTAAACATGTTCTTCCATTGTTTATGCCACTCCTGACTGTTCAACAACTCAATGTTCAACAATATTCCAAATATAATGTTTTTGTCAAGAATATTCTCAAGTAATATTTTTTCTTTCAAAATATTTGTCATCCTCTAATTATTAAACTCTAGTAATAAATTCTACATATAGCCAAATTATTATCATGTTATTTATGCCCCAAAACACAAAAGGTGTCCACTACTAGAAACACATACTTTGATGTGTAGCAAAGCAGAAACAGGAAAATCTCAGTTAAAGGAATGTCTCACACTAAGGCATGTCATTGCCACATTGGAACAATGTTGCGAAGGAGATTAATATGAATTTGGAAATAAGTTTGAGAGTATTGGAAGAAAATTTGTTAGAATCAACATTCAAAGAAAGTGTTTATGAATGTTGGTTTCAAAAAGGAAAACATTTGAGAATTATAAGACACTTAGTAAACATGCATGGAGCTTTAGGATCCACACGTTAAAACCACAAGATATTGGTTTACTCATTAACTTTAATTTGTCAACAAACTGTGCCTTAATATACTTTACATAAAT